AAATTAAATGTTTGTAATATTGAAATAATCGTGTTTTTACTACATGCATATGAATATAAATACGGTATATACACCAAAATATTTTTTTTTTACTCTTGTCTGTCTTTCTGGCTAATCTCTGAAATAGCTGGACCGATTTTGACGGGACTTTTATTGGCAGGTAGCTGATGTAATACAGTTTTTCTCTGCACAGCCTATGGTTGACTGGTAGAAAATGCCTTAAGGCGTTAAGTCCGCCATATGTACTTTTACCTTGGTATTTTGTGCATTGAAGTTATATAAATAAATAAATAAAATAAATAATAAGGAGTAACTTAGGCTACTTGTATTTTAGTAAAATAAAGTTAAATATCACGCGGAGGGAGTCGTGGGAACTGCTAGTATAAAATATATTATGTAGTGCTTAGAATATAATAATAATAATAATCTCAGGACAATTCACACAGCGCCATCTAGACCCAAGTTAAGCTAGCTAAATCTTGTGTTATGGGTACTAGATAACTGATACAAATACATAGTTTTTTTTTCGTAAATACATATTACACATAGAAAACATCCAGACCGATACAAACAATCATACTCGTGAATACAAATGTATGTGCCGTGCGAGGAATCGAACCCGCGACCATCGGACGTAAAGCGGTGTGCTAGACCGCTAGACCACCGAAGTCGATATTATGTATGTATTTACTAAAAAACATATTATTTAAGTATTTTATATCAGTTGTCTGGTACCCATAACACAAGCTTTGTGGCAGTAGTACTCGTTTATTATTATCTAACGCAGTTATTTCCTTAGGTAGTTAGGTTTTTTAATAAATTACTCAATAAATATTTAATTGAATAATAACTTTTACTATACGCTAACCTATTTGACCTATATTCGTCCTATCTTCTTAAAAGTCAAAAGTCATTTATTCATGTAGGACATTTTAGCCGCTTATGAACGTCAAATTTTTACATTATATTTTTAATTTTTCCTAAAATTTTTTCCCTTAGACTTAGTAGTTCGCGAAGGAGCACCGTTCCATTGAAAAGATAGGCATGTAGGTATATTAAATGGAACAGAGCACAAAAATTGTATGATGTAACTGGCCGTAAATATTTTTAGTAGCCCGTAAAATGGAACGTTGCCTCGTTGTACGGGAATGATGCCTATAAAACTAGAACACGTGTTTGGGGTATATTGTGAACGGTGTTGGAATAGATTCGCGGACACTTAGCGAGCTGTTAATGCCCCTCGCAGGGAGATGGCTAAGATCGTAAATAAAGGCGTGACTCAGACGACCGGTGGCGCTCGTTCGGGCTATTTTCGACTTGCAAATGAGAAAGTGCATCGGCAGCGGTGTTGCCATAGTAGCAGTTTTACCATTAGAATAGGTAAATTTAATCTTCGTTTGAGTGGAAATTTTTTTAAAAATGTGTTACACACATCCGTATGTAATGTATTAAGTAATTTGAAAATTTCCATTCGATAAATTAATTTTTGTAATTGTTTAAAGCCAAAATGACTTTTTAGATAAAAAATACATTTCAGCATTGTTGATAATTGTATCTTAATCATATAACTCTCATGTATTGAACGGATTAGCATAAAATTTGGGTATATTTCAATGCGTTCCTGGGTGGTCAGAAATCATATTTGACGTCATTTTCCTTTTATTATATGTAACTGAACTAAATAAAACTGAATCATTGTTAGCACAGTTATAATTGGCAATAACTTTGTTTCTCATGCAAAAATGAACTTAATTGTTTTCCTAAATTACAATTTTGTTGATTATTGAAATGCTAATGTCCTACAAAATAAAATGATTTCTGATTCCTGTTCTGCGGCGGGAACTATTTTACTTGAAATTAAAATTCTCATGAGGAATATGAGAATTTTCTCCAAGTAAAAAAAAGTTTTTAACAATGAGGCGATGCTTGGACGTTCAATTTGGACATGGTAAAAGTGTGTTGGCAACACTGATCGTCAGCGTAACCCATGGCTATAGCTTTCCGTTGTTTGCCTACCTGTGTAATACAGATATATTTAGTACCTACATTCTTGTAGTACAGCGGCCGAGTGCAATGCACTGTCGTTGACTATTCTCAAAGCAAACTACGTTTATTCTCGTTTCAATTGTTAGTTATTGCGTTACCATTGTTTCTTGTGTAATCAAAAGTTATAACGACCGGTGGGTATAATAAAGTATAGATTGATGAGGTACGAATAAATCAGTTTTATAAACATACATAGAAATTAATGTGGTTTCGCGCGCATATTTGCTACAATACTGATCGTCAGCGTAACCCATGCCTATAGCTTTCCGTGGTTTGCCTACGTGTGTAATACTTTACCTTTTTCACTTTTGCGGCATATAAAGTCACCTACATTTCTTTTATAAATTCGTGTTTTTTCTGTATTTCATGTATGTTATGTGTCTGTAATTGTGAATAAATAATTTATCTATCTAATACAGATATATTTAGTACCTAAATTCTTGTAGTACAGCGGTCGGGTGCTATGCACTTCTTTGATTGAATTTATATTGCACGTTGACTATTCTCACAACAAACTTCGTCTATTCTCGTTTCAATTGTTAGTTATTGCGTTACTATTGTTTCTTGTGTAATGAAGTTATATTAACCAGTGGTTATAATAAAGTATAGATTTATGAGGTACGAATAAATCACTATATTATAACCATACATAGAAATTAATAAGGTTTCGCGCGCATTTTTGGTAAATGTATCAATGAATTTTTATCGGTTACCTCGTAAGTAGATAAGCAGTTTAATTTGTAAGCTATATTTCGGCGCAGAGATCCAAATAAACACAATTTCGACAGTCGAAAATACCTCTGACCATCCTATTTAGAACACAAGTCGTGAATATATGACAATTTGAGTTTGACGGAGGTACTTCTGTGTGTCCCTACCCCTAATCAGAAATTACGAATAAAGATTTTTATCTATCTAAATTATTAGTTCTCCATCATTGAATTCAGAGTCAGTGACCATGTTATGAATTTGGAAATCGTGTAGATCGAATATTATAAAATTACCAAACAAAATATTTCATAAACAGATAGGTACTTAATAAAATCAAATTTAAAACTAGCTGATCCCACGACTTCGTTCGCGTGGCAATTTACTTTATTTTTCTAAAATAAAAGTAGCCTAAGTTACTCCTTATTACATCAGCTACCTGCCCGTAAAAGTCCCGTCAAAATCGGTCCAGCCATTTCAGAGATTAGCCGGAACAAACGGACCGACAGACAGACAGACAAAAATTGTAAATAATGTTATTTTGGTGTATACATACACATTTTGTGCATTTGTATATAAATACGGTACACCGTATTTTCATTCATATGCATGTAGTAAAAAAACAGTTATTTCAATATTACAAACAGACACTCCAATTTTATTTATATGTATAGATGTAAGTAATTTTGTTAAGTACTTACTATAGTTGTAATTACATTGAAATTATATAAATATCATTACTATATATTATGACTTGCCATATATGTAACGAAGATTTTTACATTGGACAATAAATTAAATATAAGTTTAAATTTTAGGTTTTGTTCCATTAACTGTGGTTAATGTAACAAACGGCATTCTGTGAAACTTGTATGAGCACTAAATAAATATTATCGTATGTTTATTTTAAATTTGATTGAAGATTGTTTAACTTCTTAGTATACAAAACTTTGAAATCACTAACATTCAAGTAGATAGTTTATAGGTACATAATATACTCGTAAATCTACCTAAGATTTATTTTGTGCTGTGCTCACGGTTTCACTCTCATGAAATTTGTAGTGTATTTATTATTCTGCTGTATAAACTATATTACTGTAAAGTTTTATCAAAATCCTTTCGGTAGTTTTTGCGTGAGAGCAACAAACATCCATCTTTCGATACAAACTTTAGCGTTTATAATGTTGGTAAGAATTCAATAAAAATTCTATTAAAGAATTAAAGAAAATTATTTGAATTCAAATAAAGAATTCGGAACTTGTACTTACCAACCTGCTGTGAATATTTACTCAGAATTATCTCGTTTATAATGTTAGTAAGCATTCAATATAAATTCAATTAAAGAAAATTATTTGAATTCAAATAAAGAATTCGGAACTTGTACCTACGGTGAATATTTACTCTGAATTACTTTTTAAAATTCGAATTCTTTTTTTTCTATTTACTTTAAGATATCAGTATACAACATGTACAGCTTAAATACCTAGTGCCCACTTCATTGTAGAGTAGGACAGTAGGTAGATTTATTACAATTATTATAATTTTAATAACCATTAGCATTGATAAAATATTACTATGTAATTAAAACAATATTTATATGTAAATACGTGCTATTATAATATAATAATTACTCATGTTTTGAATCATTATGATGGTATAAGGAATTTCATTCAAATTAAAGTGTTCACTATTTGTTTTACGACCATTTATTTGACGACCTCGGTGGTCTAGCGGTCTAGCACATCGCTTTACGTCCGATGGTCGCGGGTTTGATTCCTCGCACGGCACAAACATTTGTATTCATGAGTATGATTGTTTGTATCGGTCTGGGTATTTTCTATGTATATTATGTATGTATTTACAAAAAAAAAACTATGTATTTGTATTAGTTGTCTAGTACCTATAACACAAGCTTTAGCTAGCTTAATTTAGGTCTAGATGGCGCTGTGTGAATTGTCCAGAGATTATTATTATTATTAATGTTGTTACGGAATTCATGCAGGTCCAATGCAGTATTGCAGAATACATTATAGGTAATATATAGATGTCTTGGTTTTACCGCTATCTACCTACTCGTATTGGAGACTGGAATCCGTCGGCTCATGACGGCCTCCTATTTGTATAATAAAATGCAAATTATTTGTCACGATATCTACTCAACCGGCACTTATCGGCTCAAAACAAATCCCGGATCCTTATCTAGGTAAATATCTATCTAAATGCAATGAATCAATAACGTTACTTACCGCTTTCTACCGCGCGATGTCTCACTCGATCACACACAACACAAATGCAACTCGTCACAATATCTCACCGTATTCTAAAACAACACCTAATTGAATCCATGTTATCATTTAAAATATCGATCAGTCACACGCGGTGAATGTTTCACGGCGACGCGTATATTTTTACATTCGACTCGAGATATTTTCGATAGTCGCTCGTTTTAGGGTTTTCACTCCCGAGATCACAGCACTAGCCAATTATTTAGCTTCTTGTTATATTCGCTTATATACACCTTGTCACTGATCAGCTGAGCGAATGTTTCAAACAATATTCGGTTACGTATATATTTTTATCACAAACACGTAAGTAACGAACGACGTGCGCCGACTGACTGAGTGAATGAACGATGAAACGAGAATGCTTGTTTGGATCGGCGACGCAGGGGCGCGGGGAGCGCGGGGCGGGGTGATGCAGCTTCGTACACTTCGCTACTAGATGGCAGCACCCGTTCTTACTGCGAGTTCATTTATTTGCTTTCTTGGGAAGTTTTTTTCTGAACGCGCGTTAAAATAATTATATGAGCACGGGCGGGACTGCCTCGCCTCTTTATAAATTAGGAAAACGTTTCGAAATTACTCCAATCGAACGTTTTGCGTTCGGATTTGTGTTGGCGCGGCAAACGTACTTTCTGTGTCCGGACTTGGAATCAATTTACGTGATTCCACTTTGGCATTTCAAATTTCCACCTTGTTGTTAAACGTGACGGAAATTAATGTGTACATTGCAATTCTGTGACGATTTTGAAATGGAAATGTAGGTGTTGAGCGTAGCTGGAAGTTGGGTAAATGTAAAAAGTCTATTACATCCCGGATTGGGTTTGTAATCGCGAGTGAAAATCGATTAAAGTTGCGAACGTAGTGGGTTGGGATTCCATCGGTCTCGATCAGTAGATAAAACTCATTTTCACCTCGTCAATTTCATCCAGCAGGAGGGAAAGAAAATAAAAGGAACTGTTTGAGTTCGTTAAGCTTATAGACAGAGAGATTTAAATTTCTTTTACACTGTTTATTTTTAAATAAGTTGCCCATAGAGTATAGGTTCGTTTTTTTACATTTTTAATATTAAAATGGAAACGACAAAAGAAACAAAGACGGATGTGAGACAGTGATACAAACGTAAACCATTTGTATGAAATACATTAGAAATAATTGAACCGAATCGATTATATAATAGCCCAAGACAATTCACACAGCGCCATCTAGTTCCAAGCTAAGCAGAGCTTTTGTTATTAATACATAGATTTTTTTTGTAACTACATCCATAATATACATAGAAAATACACAGACCGATACAAACAATCACACTCTTGAATACAATTGTTTGTACCATGCGAGGAATTGAATCGCGACCATGCGGTGTGCTAAACATCTAGACCATCGAGGCCGTTAAAATTTTTACAAAAAGAATCATCAGAAGGAAAAGCTATTTGGAACGAAAAAATCTGTACTTTTGAAATGGATAGAAAATTATAACACCTTAAATTAAATAACGGGCTTTATTGGTTAATAAACAAGCCTTGTCTGTGGAATATGACATATGACAGATGATAGCCGCAACCATAAACAATGGAGCGGCCGCGATAGCAGCTGATAACAAGTGATTTATTGTTTTTGTTGCGCGCCTTAAATCAATTATACTGTGACTACCGATATATCGACGTGAGATTTATTTCTTATAGACCGTCCTGGTCTATTAGTTCGATATATCAACTTTGAAATCTAAGGTCGTGTGTTCGAACTGGCTCAGACAAAAACCCGTCACTACGTCCGCGTGGAATTTAACAAAAAAGTCAATTAGTTTATTTAGTTTTTAAAATAAAAGTAGCCTAAGTTACTCTTTATTACATCAGCTACCTGCCAATTAAAGTTCAAAATCGGCCATTTCAGAAATTAGCCGAAACAAACAGACAGACAGACAGACAAAAATTGTTAAAAATGTTATTTTGGACATAATAGACATAGACAAAAATTGTTTAAAAAAATATTTTGTTACTCATGATCCCATTACTAGCAATGTACCATATCAGGTTGACCTCCACGCGGTTCCTGCTGGAAATCATCGTGATAAATTCCTGGTGAATTTGTCACGATGGGTTAACTGACCTGACCTCATGTTCATCTTATCATCCTCCACTGGCGCCCCGCCAGCGTAAACCTTTAGCGCAGGTAATAATAATAATAATAATTTCAGGACAATCCACACAGCGCCATCTAGACCCAAGTTAAGCTAGCTGAAGCTTGTGTTATGGGTACTAGACAACTGATACAAATACATAGATAATTTTTTTTTTGTAAATACATACATATTATACATAGAAAATACCCAGACCGATACAAACAATCATACTCATGAATACAAATGTTTGTGCCGTGCGAGGAATCGAACCCGCGACCATCGGACGTAAAGCGGTGTGCTAGGCCGCTAGACCACCGAGGTCGTCGCAGGTGGGTGCACGATTCCATTATCATCCATAAAAAAATATCAGGTGCATGTTACCGACCTTTAAGAAACCCTTCTTGAAAAACCCCATCTTGTAGTCACTAGTAAAAACCTCAGCACGTAGTTCATTCCACAATCTAAGTGTACGCGGGAGAAAACTGCTTTGAAACCGCACTGTCCGAGACTATAGGTTCCAGCGTGTGGGGATGAATTCCCTGTCGATGGCGAGCGGTGCGATGGTAAAAGGTGGCCGTAGGCATCATGTTGAACAATACTGAGCGATTTTTTTATTTTATATAAAATTCGTTACAACCCCTGGACTGTTTATTAAGAAAATTTAATATACCCTTCTTGAAAAACCCTATGCTGTAGTCACTAGTAAAAACCTCGGCAGATTGTTCATTCCACAATTTAAGTGAACACGGGAGGAAGTTCCTCTGAAACCGCACTGTCTGAGACCATAGGTTCCAGCGTGTGGGGATGAATTCCCTGTCGATGGCGAGCGGTGTGATGGTAAAAGGTGGCCGTAGGCATCATGTTGAACAATACTGAGCGATTTTTTTGTGTTATATAAAATTTGTTACAACCCCTGGACTGTTTATTCAGAAACTTCAATATACCCTTCTTGAAAAACCCCATGTATAACATGGGGTTTTTCAATGGTAAAAGGTGGCCGTAGGCATCATGTTGATAATACTGAGCGATTTTTTTGTGTTATATAAAATTTGTTACAACCCCTGGACTGTTTATTCAGAAACATCAATATACCCTTCTTGAAAAACCCCATGTATAACATGGGGTTTTTCAATGGTAAAAGGTGGCCGTAGGCATCATGTTGAACAATACTGAGCGATTTTTTTGTGTTATATAAAATTTGTTACAACCCCTGGACTGTTTATTCAGAAACTTCAATATACCCTTCTTGAAAAACCCCATGTATAACATGGGGTTTTTCAATGGTAAAAGGTGGCCGTAGGCATCATGTTGAACAATACTGAGCGATTTTTTTGTGTTATATAAAATTTGTTACAACCCCTGGACTGTTTATTCAGAAACATCAATATACCCTTCTTGAAAAACCCCATGTATAACATGGGGTTTTTCAATGGTAAAAGGTGGCCGTAGGCATCATGTTGAACAATACTGAGCGATTTTTTTGTGTTATATAAAATTTGTTACAACCCCTGGACTGTTTATTAAGAAACTTCAATATACCCTGCTTCAAAAACCCCCATGTACAACATGGGGTTTTTCAATGGTAAAAGGTGGCCGTAGGCATCAATTAAAAGACAATTCTGAGCAATTTTTTTGTATTATTTCTTTATTTACATACTAAGTGAGTTATACAAGATTTGTGTAACACCTGTACTATTGTTGTTTTTTCGATGAGAGGTACTGACTGAAAATCAGCGCTGTGCAGCGCACGTGTAAACGTTACGCTCACAGCATCAGCTGAGTCAGCACCTTTTGCCCATAACATGTACTGTAAGGTATTACTGTTAATTAAATATTTTAAATCATTGGTTACTAGCTACTCGCTCCGGCTTCATCCTGGTGTACATGTATTATACATATAAACCTACCTCTTGAATCACTCTATCTATTAAAAAAAAACCGCTTCAAAATCCGTTGCATAGTTTTAGAGATTTAAGCATATATAGTGACGGACAGACAGCGACAGCGACTTTGTTTTCTACTATGTAATGATTTTTGCTTGCACACCCGTACGAAGCCGGGGCCAGTAGCTAGTAAATATGCTCATTAAAAGAAGAATACCTCTGACTACCCCATCCGGGATAAGAGTTGTGACTTAACGTGTAACAATAACATACATATAAATAAGTTCAGTGAGCTCATCACTCAGATTACTTGGAGGGTATCGCTACTTATCACAATATTATTATTGTCAATTATCACAGTTGTCATTTATGAGTTCTTAAATTTTAATTAAAATGATAACGCTGTGTGCTTTATATTCAATATTGGACTGTTGCACGAGATAGTGTAGAGACTATGTCAATACGGTCACAAGATTAACATGTTTATAGAATACAGTTGTGCCCGTTTTTGTTGAAATTCAATAAAAAATATAGCCTATATGTTATGCTGATGTATAAGCTATGTTACTGTAGAGTTTCATCGAAATCCGTTCAGTAGTTTTTGTGAGAAAGAGCCAGAAACATCCCTACTTTCGCAATTTGAATTTGAATTTGAATTTGAAAAAAAATTTGAATTTGATTAAGATTAAGACTAGCTGTGCCCGCGGTTTCACTCGCATTAAATTTCAATAAAAAATATAGCTTTTGTGTTATACTGATGCATAAGCTATATTACTCTAAAGTTTCATTTTTATACCTACAAACTTACGCGTTTATAATATTTAAGACTAGATTTGCCATTTTCGTATCAGTCAGGCGGGAGTTGGTCTTCAGCCGCTCCATAAGTCCTTCCTTTGGTTTGTAGTGCCATCTGCACTCGCCCCCTATCGTCCGGTGAAGCTGTAAAGGCCAGCTGTGGCTAGCATTAGAGTAGTCCATAAAAAAAAGGTGTGGCCGCGACTTCATCCGTGTAGAATGCCCTGCCCTTGTGCCCTTGACCAAATAAAGAAAAAATATCTTCGAAATTCATTTAAGACTAGGAAGAAACTCCAATCGTTCTTTTCAATTGAATAAATTAATAAATGAATTTTGACTTGATTTCATTTAATTTATACTAGTTTATTTACACACTTAGCTTAGCTTAAATTACACACTTTACTTGTAGTTTGTATGACTCGCTGGTAAGTAAAGTAACTTTCTATAGGTATACAGAATGAAAATAAAAAACTAAATCAAAAGTAAGTATATAAACGACTGAGCAATGGTATATTATTAAACTTGTAATATTTGCTCTATTGTTATT